TAACTCATTAACATATTTATACATACATTATATATATTCGAAGCACTTTATTTTCTATCTATAATTATCATTATCTTATAGTTATTATTATTATCATTTTACCTCTGATATAATTGGTGTATCGAATATCGTTATAGTATGCTTGGCGGTCTGGCACTTGTTTGCCTCTAAGAGTTCTGATCTCATGATATTCTTGTTTAAAAGACATGGCAAGTCTGCTCGTGCTTCTGTGCCACTTGGTACATCATGCGGTATGTATAAGGAAGCTCCAGTGTCCAGCGTATGATTTTGTTGTGTTGGTCTCTGTCGAATATCCTGTTCAGCAATAGATTTTACAAGCGGTTGCTCTCTAGCCTTTAGCACTATCTTATGTATTTTCAGTAAGTTTTGTCGCACCAATGGCGGAATTGGATTACAACATGCTAGAATACCCTGCATTTCACGTGGCAGCGTCTCAGCTATGTTGAGTAGCATGTGGTTCGGTAATACATAGCCGATACTGTCGTCCTCCTGCCTTGCGGTGAGATCTCGCCATCTGTGCAATTCCATAAGCGCATATATCTGTTTATTGTTGAAAGACTTTTGACTCTTCCTATACATGTTCATACAACTTTCCTCTGTCCAAATTGGTTTCACATATGTGCGCTTACAAATTTCAGTGCTTTGATCATATACAGCCTTCAAGATATTGCTTTTGCCATTAGCTGCATCAATCAATTCATTCTTCAACATGTCTTTTATATAAAGCAAATAATGTGTATCTTCTCTGGCATATTTCATTAATTCTAATGGTAAAGGCCTTATACGCCAATCAGCTAATTGAAAATGTTTGTTGGGATCTATACCACAATATTTGTTTAATAGATAAGCCAAACTGAGATAGGGTAGGTTGAGCTGTTTTGCAGCTTGATGGGTATCAAACATGTTTACTATGTACAGCGACAAATCCCTTTGGAGCCACAAAATGTCCATATCAGCACCATGAAAGACCTTCAAGATTGAAGATCTTGTAAAAATTTCGTTGAGTTGATGTAATTCTGATCGTAGGCTCAAAGTATCAATTAAGTAATCGGTTTGTATCGTTGATATTTGCATTAAGCAAGTTATGCCTTGAAACGTTCTATAAGAATGATGTTCCAAGTCCACAGCTATTTCCTTATGATTTCTCAGATCTTCTAGGAGAATGTTGATATCAGCTGGCTTATCAATGAATACAAAGTTGGTATCATCCAACGATTTATATTCAACAGGTATTCTCTTCTTCAGCTGACATTCCAGTGTTTCAAACTTATCCAGTTCAAACTCATAAGGGTGATTGAAGACTTCGCCATGTTCACCTTCTTCGACATGAAGAGCCAATGGCTTCAGGGAGTTTGGTTTATCCTTAATTCGAGGCATCCACGGCTTTGAACTATTATCAATTTTATCCTTAAACATCAACTGTGGTCTTTGTATATTTTTTCCACCCAACAACCGTACTTTCTCTGAATTATCTGAGACTTGGTCGGTATTAGTCTTTATATTCCAAGTGCCATTCATAACTGGTCTTGGCATCTGTGACACGACCAATTCTACCTGAGGATTTCGTAGAATACCACTTTCCTCATCCATCAATATGTTCTGTAACAGAGAGCACAGAGGCAAGAGAAATCATTAAAAAACTGAATTTATTTAAAAAATTCAAACTAATATCTAATTATAAGACGCTTACAGCTTGATCTAGTAGTTGATCATTTGCTTCCAATAAAAGATCGAACTTTTCGTCGATGTCTCGGTTTTGAATGTTAGTAGAACCTCCTGCTAATTTCATTATGCTCTGCATTGTAGCCAGCATTCTCTCCATATCTTTGTGTCTAGCATCGTTAAAGCTTGGAAAGCAAGCATAGTAATTGAAATTATCTCCAACAGGCAGATTATTAGCTGCTTTGATTCCAGCTCTCATCGCATCAAACGCATCCTGAAATATATTGCACTTTGGGACTAGAACCTTTTTTGTTTTACTTGCCAAACTGTATGTATTTACGTAAAAGACATGATCTTGGTGAGAAAACGTCGACATGAGCAAGCATACCTGAAGGTAATCTTCGAAAGTTGTATACCCAGGAATAAGGCGGATCGGCGGCCCATCTTTCTTTTCGGCTTCTATGTCATCATTTTGCGAGACGTTCGTTTCATAATCCGAATTTTCAGCAAGTTCCACATGTTCCATATTTGCCACGTGCGCACTCGATTGTATCTCGAAATCATCCTCTTCTTCTGGAGCAACACAAGGTGGAGAGTCGCTCATTGCTCTTCGTTTCCTAGTTTTCCAACAGTTGTCCTTTTTTTGAGGTTATCGTCTATCATGAGATCTGTTTTCTGTTTCTGCACTAAACTGCACCATGAACTCCATGAACTGCACTAGGGCCCAGTTCCACAATTCACGATTAACTGTTAACCGAGGTTCAACTTATTCATTGTCTCTTTCCAATTCTAAAATTAGAAAGAGACAATGAATAAGTTGAACCTCGATTAAAAGTTAACCATGGCTGGTATTCATAGGCTGTGTTCCAAAATTGACTGTCAGTACTGAAAATCTATAGTGCACGTAACGTAAACTGTAGCATTTTCTGTGCTGGCAGTAAATTTGGAACACAGCCATAGGCCGGAATCAGACTATGCATTGAAGATTGAGGTTGAAGATTGAAATTTGACCAATAAGGACAAAGAAATTTTAGCTCCTTTCGTTGTGATTGATCAAATTTGAATTTTTCAATCTTCAATCTCAATTTTCAATGCATAGTCTGATTCCGGCCATAGTCGGTTCTTATTTCAAGACCCTCTTAAGTATGTCTCAATATGCTAATGCGATTCTCTGATTGGTTCGTGACTAGTGACATCTCAAGATTGAACTTGAGGCGTCGTCTACAATATGCGAAGTAAGCTTGGTTTAAGAAGTAAGAGTAAGAAATTGACCAATCACAGTCGAGTATTCTTCTCACATTCGACTGTGATTGGTCAATTTCTTATGCGTCGTCTACAATATGCGAAGTAAGCTTGGTTTAAGAAGTAAGAGTAAGGAATTTACCAATCACAGTCGATTGTGAAAAGAATAATCGACTGTGATTGGTGAATTTCTTACTCTTACTTCTTAAACCAAGTTTACTTCGCATATTGTAGACGACGCATAAGACGATCTGAATATAAAGCTGGTTCTACATTAAGCGTCGTTTATAATAGGCCGTAACCGTAATTCAGTGGCCGTAACCATAGAGGCCG